TTCGCACCGAAGAGAGTATAAAATCGGATTGAAACAATCTTCATTCAACTTGTATTGCTAATTCCGAATTGGGAGTGTTTAGTAGGAATTTCAATCGGAAGCCGGTGCAGAAACCATCAAAGAGTTCACTGTTTACATCCTTCTTCATGAAGACAGTATTAATCAGGCCTTCCAATAACGGTTGAAATCACATTGCTGCCAAGCCTAAGAAGTCAAACTATCACTGGCTACCCAAGGCACCTAATTTTTTTGTTCCCCACCGGTGTGTGATCGATAGCAGACGGGGTGGAACCCCATAGTTACGAAGACCGGCTGTTCAGTGATAGTAACCGGCAACCTAAGCCCCGGGAATTGGAGTGGCGAACCACATAAGACCCCACTAGGTCAGGCGTGGTATAGAACCGGGCGATAGCAAAGCTGTCTACCAATTCTAATGTGAACGCGGAGCATCTTACGTTGGAAGAACAGATGCACGGTTGCAAACCAGGACCATATCCCATGTTGAGTTAGGCATCCGTTGAACGAGTCATATGATCGAAGGTTCTCCTTCGACCTGACCCCTCAATTCCATACATAAGCATCATCATCAGCAAACACAAACAAACACTAATTCCCTATAAACCAACACCCTTGTCCACAAACATGAAACACATAAACACCACGTCCAGGTTCCTTAATGCCAGGGAATCTGTTGTAGTTAGAAAACAGAAACTAGACCTGAATAGAACTGTCAGCCGCACAGTTACTGCCTTGGCAGTATGAATATTTGTGAATATTTGATTCCGTCGTCTTTCTGTGTAACTGATACGCTGTCAAACAATATAAAGTATGGTGTTCTGCAGTATATGGTCCGAAAAGATGCAGCTAAACCCGATTTCGCCTAAGTCGTGCAATCCAGTATATCCACTTTTACCCTCTGTTCAAACAAAAGAGAAATACTTTACTGGTTAAACGCCTTAATAATGCCGGATAAATCGATCTCTTACTTCATTAGGATACGCACTTTTCTACGATTAATTCTTCGTGTAAATGATAAGTGAGCTGAAAAACTGGGAACTATATAGCTGTTTCGACCTTGTTGAACCTCATCTGCTTTGCAAATTGATCGACCTGACTAGGGATCGAACCTGAGAGCTCACAGTTAGAACGCAAGCATACTACCCCCTCGGTCACCGGGCAGATGATCAGACCGTTTTTCATTTGGAGTATACAAGATATAGCGCAATCCAACTTCACGAGCCTGTTGAGGTTATCGGTCCTCGCTCACCTCAGTACCAGCCTCTAAATGAGAAACGGTCTGAACAGCTGCCCGGTGACCGAGTGGGTAGTACGTTTGAGTTCTACTTGTGAGATCTCGGTTCAATCCCCAGTTGGGTCAACTTGTTGACCTTTTTCCCACTATCCTTCTCGTGCTATGTTCCAATATGTAAGTTTCGCCAGAAAATCGTGTACCAGTAAGTAGTCATTAATATATACAACTAGAACCTAATATTAATAAGTAGGATTTTGAACCTATCACTTGTAAATTGCTAATGCAGATAGATATTTTGAATGAAAAGCAAAAAAACATATCCATTGTGTTCCAATCAATTTTAAAATTTATTTCGTTGATGTTTCATGTCATCTGTACAGTGCTACAAATAATATATTCATTGATTAAGAACACACAAAGTAGGTGAACTTGTGTTTTCGGTAAATACCTTTTCAAGTCCTTACAAACACATTTATGTGAAATAAGTTCAATAGGGCCAATCCAAGCTGGCTCACACAGGGTGGGAGTAGAGCTGCCCAGCTCAATTGTTGCTCATCTGGTAGAGACGGGACACTTGGTAACCGCAGAGGTCATTGGCATACAACCCATGAAGCCTGAGCTGTGCGCACTAAGAAAATTGATTCAAGCTCTCAAAGTCCTCTCCCCAAGGGATGAGAGAATCGCTCGTTCACCATGACCATGATGTAACATAGCGAATTTGGTTACGTGATCCAAACAGCTCACAAATTCGGAGTTCTCTCGGGCTCATAACCAAACACATGACTCATCCACCTGCAAATCAAACATATGCTCGCCTACATTGTGTTCGACAAATAATACTCACTCATTTGTTGAACCGAATTTGATTTGTAGGGAAATGTGTTGTGAACATACAAGACGTTTAGTACTGCGATGGAGCTCAAAAATATACAAAGCGAAACCATGACTAAACAGATTCCCTGTGCTGCAAGATGAAACAAAACCCCATTTAGTCGAACAATGTAAATGTGCCCTACTTTCTTGTTGAGGTGGTACAACGAAGGAACGCGCTAAAAGTGTGACCAAATTTGCTTAGTGATGAAATACCGAAAATAAATGCTCATTTTTGTGCAGCCACAATCGGTTTATTATTTTAGATCACATACTTGACTGCCTTGGAATGTGTCGACCTGATAAAGGGGTTCATTTAAACAATACTGGAAAATCATTTACAATTTTTTTCGGGAACGGTACTGTTTAACATGTCCGCAAACATGAGCAGTTACTGACAAGTTACAAAAGGGATGATCAATTTAAAAAACTGATGAACAAAACATACACTCTTGAGCCGAGCGTTATCTGATCTGAGCAGAGTTTCAACGCAACTCACCATACAAAATTGTAATTTCGGTATGTTTGTTTGTGTGTACCAGTCAGGTAGACTGTAGATCGAATGGAGTATCTGCCACCTGGGTTCAGCCATTTTATAACTTGATCAAGAAAAGATAAATTGTGTTTACCAATTGTTTTGTGTATGTGTGTGTGTATGGTACGATTGGTTTGCATTGATGCAGTACGCCAAAAATCACGTGATCCAATCCAGTCTACGACAAGGCTGCGCGATGACAGACGGAAAATGCAAAGTCGGTGTCAAACTTGTGTGGGTGATTTGGGTCAACTGTGATA